GGGGGCTGGAGGCTGGGTCCAGTTGCTGAGTGTTTCTTAGGGTTGCCAGGTGTCCGCTATTTTCACCTCCTGGTGGTGGTGGTGGGGGGGAAATCAGAAAATACCAGACATTTTAGGTGTCCGGTATTTTCTGAATTTTTTTACTGGCCAGGAGGCAAAAATACTGGACTGTCCGGGTCAATACTGGACACCTGGCAACCCTAGTCTCAAATTCACTGTGGTCACTAAGCACAGGCAGACTACATACGGTCCACGGGCCAGGTACAGCCCACCAAGCTGCCGAGCCGCCCCGCCAGGACCCTCAGGCACAGAGCTGCCAGTCACTTCAGAGCAGCCTCATGTCACTATAAGCAGCTGGCTACTCCCTGTGGCTCTCTGCTCTGGCTGCCAGGGAGAGGAGGAGTCACCATGTGCTGCTGCCACTCCCCACTAAAATTTCTCAGCTCCTATTGGCCATTTTGAGCAGCCTGGGACTGTGGCAGGCAGGAAGCCTACCTCAGGGTCCTGCAGGGCTGCTGGGCGGGAGCCACTTAGATAAGTGCCTCCTGGCAAAAGCCTGCATCCCAGCCCCTCTCCCCATCTCCCTGCCCCAGGTCACCACCCAAACCCTCTGCACCCCTCTCCCTCCTCCCCATATCCCAGATCCTCCAAGATCCTGCACCTCCTCCTATACCCCTCCCCCAGGCCAGAATCCTCTCCTGCACCCCAAGCCTTTGTCCCAAATCAAAACGCTCTCCTTCACCCAAATGCCCTCTCAGACCCCACAGCCTCTCCTGAATCCTGGTCCCCTATCCACAGCTCCCTTTTGTACCCAACCTCTCTCCTAGATCCTGCACCTCCTCCACAGAAGTGTGGCCCTTGATCTCTTACCAAAATCTTGGATTGGCCCCCATCAAAAATTATTGCCCACCCCTGGACTAGACAAATGTTCTACATAAAAATATTCAGCAGGTTAAATTAACACTTTCATCATTTTAGAAACCTATCAGAATCCATTGAATGGAATGACTTGGCTAAGCAGAACATTTTCTTCTCTTCATTGATTACAAAAAGATTTTTGGCAATTATGCTGCTGCTTGACATGTCACAATATTGACATAATCCTCTCACCACCAATGTCATTCAGCTTCTGCCACAGTGAATTTAAGCTGAAGTCTACATCAAGCACTTAATGCAGGAATCTACTAAAATGGACAAGAAGCCACACACATTTTACCTTGATGTATTTTTTAAATCTAGTGATCAGGCAAGTCTGAATTTATTCCCAGAGCAGCTGATACTCCTGTTCTGTTCAATATATCCCTTTGCCTTAAATTAATTGTAATACTAGTCTTTTACCTACTGCCTTTCCTGTGGTGGGATCCCAATTCATGTTGCTAATTCTCACATACATTGTATTGGAATAACTTGTCTCCAATGTAGCCAGCTCTGGGACAGAAGATGGTATCTTCTAAAAGGGGAGAACATGTCCTGTGCAGAGAAGTGCTAGGCCTATGTACCATTTAGGCTGTGCACAAACTTTACAGTGAATATCTGCACACAAGTGCATTTCAATCATATTGCATGAAAGATGAAGGGAAGTTTAGTACATTACTTCTGGCATCAAAAACAGGTTTTTAATAGCAAAGATACCATTGAAGTAGTGCACAGTGAACATCTGCACACAAGTGAATTTCAGTCATATTCAACCATGATGGAGGGGCAGCCAGGCCAAAACTGAGCAATGCTTGGATCCCATGTGCCTGGTCACAATGCCCAAAGCAGGGAGCTAGGTCCCCACACACAACAGGTGGTGCTGGGACAATTTTTGTAGTGGGGGTGTTGAAGGCAGAAACTACGGTATGTATTTGAGCTATTACTAGTGCAAATCAAAGGGTGCAGCAGCACTCCCAACACCACTGAGTCCAGTACCTATGTGTACGGATCCTTCCTATGAACCCACTGCCAGGTTGGAATGCAAGGAGTAGGAAGCCCAGGGGCACCAAGAGCCTCTGCAGGTCTGGAGGTTCTGGGAGGGGCAGGGTCTCGGGCAGAAGGAGTGGAGCAGTGGTGGCCGGGAGCCCTAGGCCTTTTTTAATCATCAGGCTCTGGAGCAACTGCCCCTTTTGTCCTCCCCCCCTCCCCCCCACTGGTGTTGGAAAGCCAGACCCATCCCTTCAGGATGGGAACCACAGTAGTCACTGCTGCAAGGTGAGTTTTTCCTGTTATTTCTTTTTATACTAGATTTTCAATTGAATTTTGTGTTATTTTGCATTTGAAAAATACAAGGGGCTCTAGCTATAGGAACTGGGGAATATAATAAGTGTAAAGTCCTCAGACTTTTACTAGCCCAGGGCCTGTTTTATAACCTGGTTATAAGCCCTCTATAAAAAGGGCCATTTTCATAAAAAAAAACCACTGTCATAACTTTGACTATTGCAGGACAGATGGTGTTACTCTGATCCTGGCATGCCCAGGGGCAGCACCAACACATGGACAGTAGCACGGTGAATTGCTAAACTAGATCATATCATATCTGTCCCTGGAATCCTACTGTAGAGACTTTCTATCTCATTGGCTGCATCTTTCTCTAAATCCGTTCCTCACTAGACAGCTCACCATAATCCTTCCTTTTCACACCTTCTGTGAGGCATTTAGGCCATGTCTCAAATTGTAGCCGTGACAAAAGGACTGCACTATATGGAGACATTACCCTGCTACTCACAACTACTGTTACTGAAGGATTAGGCAGCCCAACCACGTGCCAGCACTAATCAGAAACAGGCAGACGGCTAACTCCCTATTATGCAGCCACCTCTCTCCTGCCTCTCCAGACGCAATTGCAGCAGTTCAGCTCTAAGCACCAGGAGTGGCTGTGTGAGTCTAGGGAATTAGAACTGCCATTCGACACCACATGGTGCTCTTAGGCAGCATAAATTACAATGCAATTTCCATTGATAGTGCTTGCCTGAAGAGTAACAATGACTCTCCCTCCATGACCGTTCCACACAACATACAGGTCCATGGTATGTCTCCTAGCAGAGTAAATCATGAAGGTTTGGATGACTCTGTTTAGATGCAGTGAGGGAAGAGGAAGGATACAAAGTCCCTAGAAAACAGTGGTGAGTATTTCTCCCCTAACAGTCTACAGAAACACTGCTGATAAATGGCTACATGCTCTCTGCGGATGGGCAATGGTCTATGAGCCAGTCACTGGCAGCACAGCATAGGAACATATCATGCTACTACTGAGACTGCTGCTAAAATGCTTCTTTTAGGGGACATAGGTGGAGCAAAATGCACCAGAACCCGTTGTGTAGTTCTGCCTACCTCAGGAGCAGGTTGTGTTGGCTTTTAGCTGTTCTGCTCTGCTATGTGTCTACAGCAGGGGCCCAGAAGGTGTAAAGTCTGCTTCTATGGCTTTTGATATGTAAAAAGAAAGAGACATTCATGGACATTATACCCACAGTTATTGGTAAGGGTAGTGCCACTGGTTACACTGTGGGGATGTTTTAGCTACAAATCCAGATTAGATAAAACTAGCACTAAAACAGTTCACATAAAAACCAAGTGTACCCCTTTATGCCAATTTCATTGCTGTGCATCTGGTTAGGTGGTTGATACCTCTGGATATAATTTCCTTTTGTGTAGAATAATAGGCAAACTTATTGTTAATAGTTATCTTTGAACAACTCTACAGATTATAGAAGTATTCCTTTCATGCTTTAGATCTGCCACCTGTGTAGTTTATAGTAAATGTAATTTACCTGTTTTATCAGAAGCGAGCTAACATCTTTGGGCCAAGTTCTGCATCAGTTTATACCTTTGCAAATGCATTACAGCCATTTGCATAAATGGAAATAGATTTAGCTCAACATGTTGTAAATATAGAACAGCTGCAGACACAGGGGAGAAAAATTCTCTTATGTCATTAGAATCAAAGATCAAATCTTTGGACCACACTACAAACTGGGAGGACACGTTCTCTCCATTGAAATCCAGGTAGCAGGTCAAATCCTATTCACTGTAAGTGTTGTTACTCAAATGCCCCAGGTGCATGGGAGGTTTCCCAGGATTTATACTGAACTTGCTACGAAAGTGTAATGGGGAAGGATGGGGGGGAGGGGGGAAGCTACCTCAGACAAGAGAAACAAAGTTCTTTTCCTTTTCACCTTCCTTTGTGTAAAACACAACGCCCAATATTCCAACTCAGCCATCTCAAAGATTGTGTTCAGAGTACTGGCTTCTAATTTAGGGTTCCAACTTAACTGTGCCATTCCCTGCAACACCCCTTATGCCCCAATCTGGAAGTGCTTTCAGTTCTATTATTATCATACTCCAGAAGCCGCTCCCTCATTGCCACCAAAATGCTGCACTGCTTAGCTAATGTTACATAACTGTTCTGGCTAAGAGAAATGCCTAACTTACCCTTCCAAGGCTGAATCCTGTTCTCGTTACACACGTACTCCCATTGGACGTAAGATATCACGCACATAAAACAAGCCTATGTGACCCCTAGTATTTCCAGGCTGCACAACTGAATTGAATTAAAAATCCAAAGAAGGGAGAGAGCAAGCAGTGATCGGTTAGCAATACAAAGCTCCAAGTCATCAACAGGAGTCTTACTTTTAAAAGTACCATAAAAGCAAGCCTGTACAAGATATGGAACAGTTTTAAGCAAGGCAAGCAGCTGGTATATAAATAATACAGTGGCCTGCAGGTGTTTCTGTGAGATTCTGGTATAACAAGAGACACAAAAGTTTGTCACATACACAGCAGTTTCCATCAATTGTTAATTTCTTTTGTTCTCTGTTAATTTCACAGGCAGTTATAGGCAATATCATTTAATTTCATTCATTCTTTTTTAAAATACTGACACTTTAGTACATTACATCCTTCTAAAGTTGTAATAGAATCTTTCTGCTTTAATTTCTGCTGTGTAAGTTCAAAAGCTTGCCTGTCTCACCAACAGAAGTTGGTCCAACAAAATACATCATCACATACTCCTTGTCAGTCTTATTCTTGTGATCCCACCACAAATATTTCCTTAGAAACAATTGAGAAGCAATCTGGTTATGTGAGACACCTTCTTTCTAAAAGTATTCCCCTGTGCCAGCCTAGAAAGCAATGTGCTACTTATGCCTGGCTAATAAAGCTTGCTTTATATATCTACAGTCCTCTTACCTCAGAAAATGAAGCTGATGAGAAGGGAAAAGTCTTGTATTTCTACAGAAGCAGAACACACATGTCTTGACTGTATAGTGCTCCCAGCTCCAAGACAGCTATTAAATATAGTAGGCAACTAGTTCTTAGTTTAAGGAGGTGGGGTTGAAGTCTGGGTGGGAGGGACTAGAAAAATCACTCACTAAGCATGAGTCAGCAACACTACTTCACTTACCCTAGTTATGAATGAACCATGCAGAGTCACTTAGTGTTTGTAAGATAACATCATGAAGGAAATAAACATTGTGAAAAACAGCCTTAAAGGAACCAGACCTCTGTTGCTCCCACATGACAAGAATCCAACACTAAACAGATTTTAATTCTTTTTATTTTTTAGCCTAAGAGTCTTTTGTATAAATTAATCTGCATTGTATTGGGTTGACGTTTGAAGTTTATATTTATTTAAAACACTCAGCTGCCACAGCAACAATTATTGGTATTAAGGGTGGCAGGGTAGTACAGCATGCTTTCATTAAAACTGAAGAATCTTTTAGGACTATGTAGGGTCAGCAATACTGCAATTCCAGCTGATCACACAGGAGGAACGTCCTCCCCTTTTGGTTGATATTTTGAATTTCAACCATACTTCATTGAAAGAAGCTGGCTAGTACATATTAAATAAACACCACTGCCCCCTACCGAAATACTGAGAGACCCCGGGTCCAACTTCAGGCACACTGATGTGGGAATTGTCTTACCTACTGAAGATGCAGGCTCTCAAGACCTCCATTTACAATGCATAGATGTGCATTGTAACAGTCTAGTGGAGCGATTCAGTGGGACCTGGAAAAAAATGTTAAGAAAATTCATGGGCACAGGCTCAGCACTAGGACCAACTGTGGCTATCACTGCTGTTTGCCATAAATAAATCCCCCAAGCTCCCACAAGGTTTGCACACTTTCAGCTATTGTAGGGGAGACAGCCTGTGGGGATTGTGGATCCCCTTTGAGAAGACCATGAGGAACAGGAACTGCAAATCATGAGCTCAGTCTCATACGTATCCCAGCTACAGGAATGGATGCTTCTCAAAAGAGAACCCGGTAAAAGCCCAACAAGTCCAGGAATACACCTCCCATGGATGGGGGTAGAGGTGGGGAGGGAATTTGAACCTGGTGAAAGGAATAGTGTTACTACTGACATCTACATCAAAACTACTGGCCCAGTGGCAAAGAGGGTCTGGCCAGTTGCCTGAGATCTGTCAACCTGGAAAGCAAAAGAAGATGCAAAAGTATCACATCAACTTCCTGAAGACTCAGTGGGGCCTAGTAATAACACTATACCTAGCAGAGCCAGAGTTGGGGCATCAAGCCAGGAGACTGCAAGCCAGCTCTTGTTGTGACTTTGGAGGTGATTAAAAACACGAATGAAAGCGATCCTGATGGCATTCTGAATATCTAAGCAGCCAGTCACAGGGCCCTGAGTTGAAACCTGACAGAGCAAGGAGGGGCTGGGGTCCCCTACCACCAGCCATAAACTTTCCAGACTGAGAGATACTGCTGGGGTCAGACACTGAATCTTTAACTTTAATGTGCTTGACACTTCTTGCCATAAAATACAGTACTGTTAAGTCCTATTGAAAATGACTGACTTAAGAGGATGGAAGACAATTTTCAGAAACCCCAACTGCAGCATGTGCCACCAAGTTCAGATATGAATCTAGGCTCTACTCTGAGTTTCTCCATAGTTCAATACTTCTTAAAATTTAGAGTTTGTGTTTATTTCTACATAACTCCAAAGAGAGATTATCACTCTTTGTGGCCACATTCAATATTTCTATTTTACTTATCCAGTAATGAGGGGTTTGCTAGTTCCTCATGTAGAGGGTTTATTTATTTTAAACAGTCTATTTAAGAAGCTTTTTCCATTTCCAGGACTGCCACTCTCACCTCTTCTCCCTATATTGTAATCTTACTGACTTGTTCTGGCCCAGGAAGTCAATTACATCATTGCTAAGGAATGTCTCCTTCACACAGTGTTCATGAGGTATGGATAGATGTTAGTACTTTCTCTCCAGACTATAAATGACTTAACATTACTATATCACACAGTTTACTTGCCTCCACAGTAGGACCATTGAAAATAGCTTATCTTGGCTTGCTTTTGTTATTGTTTTCTTAATATAAACACCCCACTGACTCCACTCCAGGTTTGTTCTGATCTGTTTCTCTTTTTGTGAGTCTCCTGCATGTGGGAAATGGGAGGGTGGAATTTAACTCAGATTTCTTTCTGAGTCTAATGCAGTCTGTCACAATCTGCTAGCATGTTCCAGAAGAGGAAGCAAGTAGCCTGTGACCCACAAGTAGAGTTATGACCACCAGTTCATTTTTAGTCATTTGATTAATATGGCCCAGAGGAAAACTTTACAGACGTTCTTGTATAGAACATCAGTGTGACTTCCGTATCTCTAGAAAACAGCATTTTAAGGTTGTTTCTCTAAATCAGAAACTTCAGTTCACTTTGTTTTGAGAATTGGCACCAACTCTTACTCCAACGTTGCACATTTAAGTCTTATTTTGCTCAGCTCCAAACTCTCTCCAGTACAAAGCTTAATCTTTTGCAAACAATTAGTGGATAGGCAGTTTGCACAAGCAAGCGTTCACTGCCTCCCTTTACACTGCTGCAAGGCATATGGCATGCAATGAGTAGCATAGAAAGAATCAGATTGCCTCTGTCTAGCATGGCAAGCGGAAAAGATTTCTGAAACCAAAAGAGAAGGTCCAGTAATTAAGAGGTGGTGAACGGCAAAGACTTCTTTTTTCCCCTTAAACTTTCAAAATTTTACTATTAGAAATAAAGAAATTCAATATTTAAAACAAATTAACAGTAAAATTTAGACCCAGACAGACAACAGAATGTAAGATTTAATTCCATCCTCAGTTAATCCAGAATAACTCCTGAACAGCACCTGATCTAACAGAAACCCACCTGAATCCAACACTAATGTCTCAGTGACATTAAAGAGCAAACTGTTTGTGAAATAAGGGCTTGTGATCTTGAGGATCACATTTTGGCACATTAAGGGTTAACTCTGGTCTTACTGGCATCCATATTGGCATAAAGTTAAGTGCAGCCAGAAAGTTCCACACGAACACGCCTTCCATGCTGCGTCAGTGACTAAACAAAACTTCTCCATAGTGCACAAGGAAGTGTTGTCATGGGACTAATACCACTTGGCAAGGCTGTGGTTTGATGGAAGAGGGACAGAGTTTGCTCTGGATTTTGTTCCTTTAGCCCCAGTGTGTTTCACATTTTCTTTCTTTGGTCACTTAAGGCAGTTTATTCCTGGGAACTGGTTCAGATATGTAATTATATACTTTCTCAGGGTACAAGCCCACACACAGACAACCCATGGATGTCCCAGTCTGCTACAATACCCATGAGCTATTTACTGTTGCTACAGGTTTCAATGGCGTCAACAGAGACTATCTAGTTCAAATTATCCACCATTATATGTATGCCTTGTGCTTGAAGACAGAGAGAGCTAGACTTCGCACTGCCGGGTTCTGATCTTAAATGGCAAAATATCATCTTCATTGTCAGAAATCTCTCTGTTCTTTACATTCAGGCCATGCACGACAGGGGAAGAGTAATCTTTACTTTCATGTGCATCTTTATAGACTCCACCAATGCCTCTGGCATAGGTGAACCTTCACTCAATTCCAAACTCTCTTGGCATGCTGCTGTTTCACAAGTTAGCACTTCATGTTCCTGCCATATATATAATTACTGGGACATGCCCAGAGTGATCTATTCCATAGGCAAGGACAGTACTTTTACTGTTCAATGTTTCATCTAATTCCAGTAAAAATAAATATAAAAAGACTTCATGTTTTATTAGGCAAAGAAAATTTCCTTATTGGTGCTGCCATGGTTCTCACCAACTCCTGGGAAGCAGTCAGCTGAGACTGCTGTTCCAGCTGAAGCGCTGAAAGACCAAGCAAAATGCAGGACAATGTAGCGCTTTAAAGACTAACAAGATGGTTTATTAGATGATGAGCTTTCGTGGGCCAGACCCACTTCCTCAGATCAAATAGTGGAAGAAAGTAGTCACAACCATATATACCAAAGGATACAATTAAAAAAAATGAACAAATATGAAAAGGACAAATCACATTGCAGAACAGAAGGGGGATGCGGGGGGGTGGGAAGGGGGAGGAAGGAAGGTAAGTGTCTGTGAATTGCTGATATTAAAGGTAGGGAGAGTGGGATGTTTGTGAGTTAATGGTATTACAGGTGATAATTGGGGAAACTGTCTTGATAATGGGTGAGAAAGTTCAAAGACTTGTTAAGTCCCTGGTGGTAAGTGTCGAATTTTAACATGAATGACAGTTCAGAGGATTCCCTTTCAAGTGCAGATGTAAAAGGTCTTTGTAGCAGAATGCAGGTGGCTAAGTCATTTAGAGAGTGTCCTTTCTGGTTAAAGTGGCAAGAAACTGTTTTCTCTTTGTGATCTTGTCTGATATCTGTTTTGTGGGCATTAATCCTTTGGCGAAGTGTCTGAGATGTTTGTCCAATGTACATAGCAGACGGACACTTTCGGCACATGATAGCATAGATTATATTTCTGGATGCGCAGGAATATGTGTTCTTGATCTTATAACTTACTTGGTTAGGTCCAATAATGGTATCAGCAGAATGAATATGTGGACAAAGCTGGCAACGGGGTTTGTTGCAAGGGAAGGTACCAGGGTTGGTATTAGTGTGGTATGTCCTGTGGTGGTTGGTAAGAATCATCTTGAGGTTAGGTGGTTGTCTATAGGAGACTATGGGCCTGTCTCCCAGAGCCTCTTTGAGTATGGTATCCTGAAGCATCTTGGTTCTATACCTGCTCTATGCTGTACATAATGCTAAGATTTGGTCTGGTTTTCACAAAGGCATCCCTCCCCTCTGTACTTAAGGTTGGCTAATTTATTCTTATGAG